AAGTAAGCATCATCTTAATGTATTTATGAACCAAAACTTCATTGATATGACTTGTTCTTGTATTTGCCATACCTTAGGTCTCTTGGGGAGGCATCCCCTATCATGAGTGCTTTTGCTGCGGGTCAAGCTGCTGCATACAAAATGTTTGAAACAATTGCGAGGAAGCCAGAGATAGATGCTTATGATCCAAATGGGAAAATATTAGAGGATATTGAAGGTGAAATAGAGTTGAGGGATGTTTGCTTCAGTTATCCAGCGAGGCCTGAGGAGTTGGTACTCAATAGGTTCTCTCTTGATATACCTAGTGGTACGAGTGCTGCAATGGTGGGACAAAGCGGGAGTGGAAAATCCACGGTTATCAGTTTGATAGAGAGATTCTATGATCCTCAAGAAGGTCAAGTTCTTATTGATGGCATTAACCTGAAAGAATTTCAGCTTAGGTGGATGAGGGGGAAAATTGGCCTTGTTAATCAGGAGCCAGTGTTGTTTGCATCAAGCATTAAGGATAACATTGCATATGGAAAGGAAGGAGCCACAACTGAAGAGATTAGATCAGCATCTGAACTTGCAAATGCTGCTAAATTCATTGATAAACTGCCACAGGTTCTACATTTTTTCCAGAGACTGGATTTTTTACTGTATTCTTAGAAATTGTTATAAACTTTTAAATTTTACATTGCCAAGCTTGCAGGGATTGAACACAATGGTTGGTGAACAAGGAACTCAACTCTCTGGTGGACAAAAACAGCGCATTGCCATAGCAAGAGCAATCCTAAAGGATCCAAGAATTCTTCTTCTGGACGAAGCTACAAGTGCCCTTGATGCAGAGTCCGAAAGAACAGTGCAAGAGGCTCTAGACAGGGTCATGGTTAATCGAACTACTGTTGTTGTGGCACATCGGTTGAGCACAGTGAGGAATGCTGATACGATTGTTGTAATTCATAGAGGGAAGGTGGTTGAAAAAGGTATCATACATGTTTATCCAAACATATGGTTAATTTCTTTTCATTTATTCAACCTTTCATCACGAAAAGATGATTAATTATTATGATTTTGATGCACACTTTAGTAATTTTCAATATTTTTATTTATAATATGATTAAAAGAGTGTGCTATTAGCATTTCAGTAGAATGCAAAGCGTAAAAATTGTTTGTATGTATAACTTCGAGTGTTTGCTAATTAGGAACACACTCAGAACTGGTGAAGGATCTCGAGGGAGCTTACTCTCAATTGATACGTTTACAAGAAGTAAACAAAGAATCAGAAGAAACTACAAGCTTTCACAGCAAGAGCGAACTTTCTACGGAATCCTCTACACTGTTAAACAAAAAGATATCAACTCGGAGATCTATCAGTAGGGGATCATCTTTGGGGAGTAGTAGCCGACACTCATTTTCGCTTTCTGGTTTACCCAAAGGTGTTAGTGTCCCTGATACTGAAAGTGATGACGCATTACTCGAAACACAAGCACAAGTGGTTTCACTCCGCCGGCTTGCTTCCCTCAACAAACCAGAGGTTCCAGTTCTTCTGATTGGATGTCTAGCTGCCATAGCAAATGGTGTTATACTTCCCATATTTGGGGTGTTGATTTCCACTGCGGTCAAAATATTTTATGAGCCAGTTGATGAGATGAAAAAGGACTCCAAATTTTGGGCACTTATGTTCGTGGTTCTTGGTCTTGCATCATTTTTGGTAATTCCAGCTCGAGCATACTTTTTTTCTGTGGCTGGATGCAAGTTAATCCAACGTATCAGGGTAATATGTTTTGAGAAAGTGGTGAACATGGAGGTTGGTTGGTTTGATGAGCCTAGCAACTCAAGTGGTGCTATAAGTGCAAGGCTCTCAGCAATTGCTACTTCTGTGCGCACCCTTGTTGGTGATGCACTGGGGCTGTTGGTCCAAAATTTAACATGTGCCTTGGCAGGTTTGATTATTGCTTTCATTGCATGCTGGCNCACTCATTTTCGCTTTCTGGTTTACCCAAAGGTGTTAGTGTCCCTGATACTGAAAGTGATGACGCATTACTCGAAACACAAGCACAAGTGGTTTCACTACGCCGGCTTGCTTCCATCAACAAACCAGAGGTTCCAGTTCTTCTGATTGGATGTCTAGCTGCCATAGCAAATGGTGTTATACTTCCCATATTTGGGGTGTTGATTTCCACTGCGGTCAAAATATTTTATGAGCCAGTTGATGAGATGAAAAAGGACTCCAAATTTTGGGCACTTATGTTCGTGGTTCTTGGTCTTGCATCATTTTTGGTAATTCCAGCTCGAGCATACTTTTTTTCTGTGGCTGGATGCAAGTTAATCCAACGTATCAGGGTAATATGTTTTGAGAAAGTGGTGAACATGGAGGTTGGTTGGTTTGATGAGCCTAGCAACTCAAGTGGTGCTATAAGTGCAAGGCTCTCAGCAATTGCTACTTCTGTGCGCACCCTTGTTGGTGATGCACTGGGGCTGTTGGTCCAAAATTTAACATGTGCCTTGGCAGGTTTGATTATTGCTTTCATTGCATGCTGGCAATTGGCTTTGATTATTCTTGTCTTGATTCCCCTTATTGGCGCAAATGGCTATGTTCAAACGAAGTTCATGAAGGGGTTCAGCAAAGACGCAAAGGTGAGTTGGGATTTTTTCCACGCCATGCATTGTTTAAATTCCTAGAAATGGTCTATTTAGTCATGGATTCTGGCACACAGATGATGTACGAGGAAGCAAGCCAAGTTGCCAAGGATGCAGTTGGAAATATAAGAACAGTAGCTTCTTTCTGTGCAGAAGATAAGGTAATGGAATTGTATAGGAAGAAATGTGAAGACCCCATGAAAACAGGGATATGGCAAGGGTTGATCAGCGGATTAGGATTTGGGGTTTCATTTTTCTTACTATTTTGTGTCTATGCAACTAGTTTCTATGCAGGAGCTAGACTAGTGGCCGCTGGAGAAACATCATTCTCCAATGTTTTTCGGGTACAAATTAACTTTTTCATTTCATTATTAACTTGGGACAAAAAGCAAGTGCAGTGCTAGTTGTCAACACTGCATATGTCCTTGAAAATGAAAAGACATGTTTTGCAGGTTTTCTTTGCTTTAACTATGGCAGCTATTGGGGTTTCCCAGTTTAGCACAATTTCTCCTGATTCTGGCAAAGCCAAGTCAGTAACTGCGGCCATATTTGGAATAATTGATAAGAAGTCAGAGATAGATCCAAGTGACGAGACTGGTACCACATTGGATATAGTTGAGGGAGAAATTGAGCTTCATCAAGTGAGTTTCAACTACCCGTCAAGGCCAAAGATACAGATTTTTCGAGACCTTAACTTGGTTATCCATTCTGGCAAGGTAAAATTTAAGTTCTATATTTAAACATGGTTTCATTGCAAAAGGAAGCTAAAGCACGTATATATATTGTAACTTGTAACTAATGGTTACGAACAAAACTTATGTTCCAGACAGTGGCCCTTGTTGGTGAAAGTGGATGTGGAAAATCGACAGTGATTTCGTTGTTGCAGAGATTTTATATTCCAAATTCAGGTGAAATCAAACTTGACGGTGTACCAATTGAGGAGTTACAATTGAAGTGGTTTAGGCAGCAAATGGGTTTGGTAAGCCAAGAGCCAGTATTGTTCAATGACACTATTCGTGGTAACATTGCTTATGGGAAGGGAGGTGAAGCAAGTGAAGCAGAAATCATAACAGCCGCAGAACAAGCTAATGCCCATGTATTTATCAGTGCCTTACAACAGGTAAAGTTAACAGAAAGTTTTATAATGTGTGAATTTTCAACCAAATTTAAAGCTTTAATACATTACACATTTAATGAATTTTCTTTTCGTCTAAATTACTGAATGAAATTTCAAATCTGATCATTTATTGAACAGTACAAACAGTAGCTATGATATTATATTCAAGTATAGTAAAATTTTCGACTGAAATGAGATACTCCTGAACCGGGTATCATGATAAACCTGGTTCTGATACTACTATTGAAATATATATATTTTTGGAATAAATTAGATAAATAGACCATACTTGAGCAATGAGTTGTCGAAACTTGATAACTTTTTAACATAAAAACATTAAGACTTAATATTTGTGGTCATGTTTTTAGGATTTTAATGGTCTTCGTTTTTTTATAGGAAAATGATACTTGAACAACCATTTTTGACAACATTTAGACACGCGCACACGTGTCAAAATCTGAGTGGTCCATTTTCATTTAATTTTTCCAACTGGACCACTCAGATTTTGACACGTGTGCGCGTGTCTAAATGTTGTCAAAAATGGTTGTTCAAGTGTCATTTTCCTTTTTTATAAGTTTCATTTCTACTCAATTTGGATTTTCAGTTCATAACTAAAATCCTAACAACTGTCAACTTTTGTGCTTTATTTCTTGTGTTCAGTTTGCAACCGTCTCAAAGTATATTTGTCGAAGAGTTGAACTTTTCATATGTATTTCGTGCTTTGGTAACGTTTTTTCATTTATGACAGAGTTATAACACCGTAGTGGGAGAAAGGGGAACACAATTATCTGGTGGGCAGAAGCAAAGGGTAGCCATTGCCCGTGCTTTGATTAAAAGTCCAAAGATATTGCTATTAGACGAAGCCACAAGTGCATTAGACGCTGAGTCAGAGAGAGTTGTTCAGGATGCATTGGACAAAGTCATTGTGAATAGAACCACTGTGGTTGTGGCTCATCGCCTATCTGCAATAAAAAATGCAGATTTGATTGCTGTTGTTAAAGATGGAGTCATCGTGGAGAAGGGAAGCCATGAAACACTCGTTAAAGTCACCAACGGGTTTTACGCTTCCTTAGTCCAACTTCACTCAAATGGTTCAAAAACTAGAGTACCCTGAGAAACAAGAACGAGAAAATATTGTAAGTTAATAAATTCATGAACTCGTGTTACGTTAAGGATAGTATGACATTTACTATTAGTTGGCTAATTCCTTAAAATACAGCCCTGTGTGATCACAAGCCACTATTATACTTAGAACATGTGTTGTTTTTTTAGGAGCTTCTAAAACTTAAAAATATCAAGTTAAATTTAATTAGTGCTAAATTAAAATTAGTTTATAGATAAGTGGAAAATAAAAATTTTAAATAATTACATTTGTAAGATATATTATGTTTATCTTATCTTTTATCTTTTATTTTTAGTTAGTTTTTATTATTTCTTATTTGTATTTTGGGTTTAACCTATTATAAATGGAGGATCTTATGTGTATATTTAATACAAGAGAAATTAATCTTATATATAATTTTAACTATATTCAACATGGTATTAGAGTCTAGTTCTTTTGAGGAAAATTTTTTTGCCTTTGCCACTACACTCCTTTCTGCCACTACCAGAGTTCTAGTTTCGACGAACGATTATACAGTTTTGATCGTCTCGGCCAGGTGACCATCGTGCCGTCAACGACGCCTTCATTGGAGCTCTTATACGCTCTCGATGCTTTTTGAAGTCATGGATATGTTCCTTTTTTCGTCGTGTATGGTGGCATGTTTTGTCTCCTCTTATGCAACGATTTAGAGCGTCAAGATCGCACTTTTTCCTCTTTCAGGTTCGTCATATGTGGTTGCACGTGTAACGCTCCAAATTCTGCGATGCCACATGTTTACAAAAACCGAATATTTATAAACTTTCTTATAGCGCGAAACGTATTTTTCAAAAACCTTAACTTTTAACATGCATAATTTACTCAAAACATAGTAGTTCCAAAAGCCTTGTCTAATTACATTATTCCAAAAGTCATAAAACTGACTAAGGAAATAAAACAACTATAATTACATTATTTCAAAAGTCTATACCATAAGAACTTTTTAAAGAGACCCAAATATTTCTCCCGTCATCTCACAAATCTATCATGCCTCTGTAACATCTATAATATCCTCTATTCACGTAAACATCATCGTCGATAATATCATTCACAAACACAAACAAAAACATGTATGTGATAAGCTATCGATAAAACAATCATAATAACAAAATATAAACATATTGATTATATCAACAATAATCAAACACTGCATACATTGTAGTAATACCAATAGGAGTTGTTTAACATAATTAACACTATGTGTAGAATATACCTAAGGTACTCTATTTATAATAAAAGACCTTAAGAAGTAATAACAACCAATTAAAATAAAAGATATAAATAAGATAAAATAAATTTATCTTTAACTTAATTAATTATGATAAGTTCTTAGATACTATATTATATCTTAATTTTTTATTTTAATTTATTATGATAAGTTCCTAAATAATGCATTATATTTTATTGGGTTAAATAATTTTTTAGTTCCTAAACTATCAAACGATTTTGGTTTTCGTCCCTTTTTGAAAGGTTTGTTCATTTTAGTCCTCTTAGTTTTGAAACTCTTATGTTTAGTCCTTAAAAAGTAACGGTGTTAAGTTTTCTTTGATGTGGCAAACGAGCGAGCCCACGGTGATGCCACGTTTCTCTTTTTTTCTTCTCTTTTACTCTTAAACGGAGCAGTGTCCACCACCTCCCACAACCACCACCACATCGGCCTTCACTACAGTTGCCTGAAGCAGCCTCCTATCAGTAGAAGAAATCCATCTGGCCAGACAACACCACCATCACCACCGACATTGTTCTCCTCAGCCACGAGCTTTCTATTAAGGTCAACGTTGTTGTCTTAGAACTTCGTGCTCTGTTCGAATTTGGCAATGTCGGTGTCGGTCACCTGAAACTCTCATATCTCCTTCTCAAACACTACTTGAGTTATCTGAGAGTTTGTTACCATATGATGGAGTTTCATTTGATTTTGATTCATCAAGGTCACCAGTAGATGCATCTGCTTTAATTATAATAGGATAGATATCGTCGTCCCCCACATTCAATAACTCAGACTCCTCAAATATCGAAAAATCAATATCAGTTAGAGCTGGTTGTTTAAACCTCAGGCTAAGACCTTGCTGGAAATTTACAGTCACGGGTGGAAGAACATTTTCCTTCATTGGGGTTAGGATGCAACCTTCCCCTTCTTTTGCAAAGAAAAGTATCGTGATGCTATTATGAAGGTAAAAGGAAAAAAACCATTTAAATCAAACAAATAAAAGAACTATCCCACAAATATTCACATTCATAGTCTTTAACCAACACATACACAATTTTAATCTTAAAGATCACTATCCAAAAAATTAGGGTTTCTGATTTTGGGGGAATGCTGCTTCTGCTTATGGTGCGAGAACAAGGTTTCTCCCTCTCCTTCATGGCGACTTCACTTAGTTTAGGGACGAATTCTTGATCTGGTTTTTGTTTTTGCTTCTTTGGTTTCCTTGCAGGTTTGTGTTGGCTCTGTGCGTGAAGGGAAATCTTTTGCGCCACGAATGAGATGAAGGTTGCGCGAGAAGATGGATTTGCAATCAGGGTACCTGAATTGAGATTCTTGGTTTCTCTGTTTAGGTTTCTACGTTTAACTCGCCGTTGTTGATGGCAGCCTGAGGTTGTGCATGAGAAACGACGTTGTTCTCGATC